AATAAAACAGACAAATTAAAGCTGATGAGAGAAAAGGTCCAAAAGAATCTACATAACGCGTACGAAAATAGTGCAAAACGGTACGATCAAAGAGCCAGACTTGTCAAGTTCCTACCTGGACAAGAGGTTTATAGACGGAATCATATGCTCTCTGATTTCAAAAATAACGTAAATGCCAAATTTTGTAAGAAATTCCTAAAATGCAGAATTGTTAAACCCATAGGTAATAACATGTATGAGTTGGAGACTCTGCAGGGAAAACCCCTTGGTAATTATCATGCCAAAGATATTAAGGTGTAGGAAGTGTGCAATAAATCTGTCATATAATAATAGTGCAATATAGATTTATAATTTTGTGTCGTAAACGTCCAATTTTATCAAACTATATGACTATTTGTAATTATATCTGGAGTTTATTGACTCATTTCATTTATACCATAAATTTTTTGTGCTGTGAACAGTCCCCTTTTTATATAGGTAGTATTCTGACTATGATTATTTATGCTTAGAGATTATTATCTTGCTTACAATTATGCAAAAGAAAGTAAATGTTTTATCTAACGACCAATGTCTTATATTCTGATTTAGCACAGAATTGAATGCCCGGCTAATGAGACTTCAGGGTGTGGGAGTTCCCCACGTTGAGCTACTGAAAGATATCTCCAACTCCAGCAAACCCTTATGTTTATGATCAACAACTCAAATAATTCTTAAATGAGATTATTTTTTTTATATTTCTTCTATTACCCGAGAGCCCATGAATGATTCTGAATGCCAATTGTACAATCTAGTTAAAAAAAAAATAGAATAATTTACAAATTATTCCTTTCGGTGAACGTTAGCAAAATATTATAAATCAATTATAGAGATGGAATACCTGAATTCCAAAACACCTTTAAATCAACCTCATTCCACAACTAGCAACTACTTCGCGTATTTTTTTTTGAACATAATTGCTTCTTTTATTTTTTTTTTTTTTTAACATTCGGCTACTCTATGTAATTTTTTTTTAAACAATTACGCCACGTAATTGTTGCCTAAAACTAAATGCTCCACGCATCTTTTTTATTGGCAAAATGTTTTTAATAGTATTTTTTATTTCTCCTTGCATTTCCCGCAATATTTCTAACTCACAAAAATAAAAAGTAAACAAGACTTACCTGAAGGTTTATGATCCACAGGGGAACGTTGTTGTGTGGCGATGTAAAAAACTGTTCCTCCATACTGGCACATTCATGGTAGCACACACTGGTTTCATAGCATTCAATTAAAAAAGGAAAATATACTGAAATAGAAACGCGGGGCCCTTAAGATATTTAACGATTATTGGACATAAGGGTCAAGGTTGGGTGGGCCAAGTGTGGGTGCAATTTCCACCAAGCACTCTTGTCACCGGTGTATGCAGTGTTTGTATTTTTTGTTTGTTTTGATGTTCGTATTATGTCCCCTTTTTTTAATTGTTAGGCCCCTTGGACTGTTGGTGTCAGGGTTGGAACCGACCTGAGCAAAAAGCTCCCCTGAGCAGCTGGATACCCACCACAGTACCGCATAAGGTGGTAACCATAACAAGTGTATTATTCGTTTGTTTTGGCTCAAAACTTTGTAACGTCTCGAAATTTTCATTTTCTAATTATTATAGAATTCGGTTGATCATATGAATCAAATGAAAGAGATTTAAATATAAAACGACTTATATTAAATTGAATAGAGTTAGTTTTTATATATACGACTTTAGCTATAGTTCCATTAGGGTCGGAACTAAGATCTTGAAACTTGTGGGAAGTTGTTTTACCTATATTAAACTCGTTTGCATGCGCAATGTTTACGTTTACTTGGACAGTAACCACGGCCTCTTCGGTTCATAATTTATTTGACTGTTCCTTGACCGGAAATGTCCTTTCAAAAGGACAATGAAATAATAGCAAATTTATCTTGTCTGTTTTTTCACTTTTTCTAAAACAGTACTTATTATATAATTGAATAACTTGTATTTTATTAAATATTTCAGCAACATCTTAAACAACATCATATATTTGAGTACATTTCACATTTGGAGAAGAAAGAACGCAATCAAGCTGATAATCGGAAAATGTATAAACAACGGTGCTGAAGTAATCACCTCTTTGTTCTACTGACAAAGTATCACCCTCCATCGAATAAGTTGACTGCACTCTACGTCCATCCAATGCTACTTCATCCATTGTCTCTCCTAACTTGAAAGACGAGTTGATTGTCTTGATTGTTGTAGTTGTGGTCAAAGTATAGATTTCGTCATCTCTCTTTAATTCAATAGTTGGATAAGAATTACTAAGTACCTTTCGTACCATTAAACCGGTGCCAAGATCCTTAAGATATTCATCGTAGTTGTCACTACACCGCAATTTGTATTTTTTTCCTTCCCAGCAGACCATTGTAGGATATATAAATATAGATCATAAACTTATGCGGAATTAGTAACGAAAATCTAATATCAGCTATTATTTCAACGTTTTCTTGTTTTTCAATTACTATTTTGCGTTTGTTTTTGTAAAACGAGTGGTTTTAACTGTTATTCAGAGCAAGACAAGGAAATCTAGTACTTTGTTGTTTTGATCGCGAACTTAAGCATATAGAAACAAAGAGAATAGGGGTTTCCGTGGAGTTTTTGACACAATAGTAAATGGAATAGGAAAAAATTAAGCTATATAAAATTGGAAGAATTGAATTGGATTGATTAAGTTATAATGTGTCAAATAAAACAAGTGAAAAGAGATTTAGTGTTGCAGGTTCGAGATGTTTAAAACGTGAAATTAAAAATATGTTCTAAGGAAGATTTCGAAATCCTGAAATACCACCTCAAAAACTATAGCTTTTGCGATTTGAAATTTTAAGACAAACCCACACAAACCTATTTAGATGTTTATACCAATAATGGACATATTCTATAAGATACATAGGTATGTATTTGTTTTGACCCGCGACCTGTTGGGAATTTTGATTTGTTTTCCCCTTTTTAATTAACCGATCCGGTATCCAACTTGTTCGATCGCTATTAAACATGATTGTTGTTTGAATATATGAGCCTAATTTACATCAAACATTAAACGTAAAATTAAAGACGAATCTTCGTAAAACATGTAATTTAAGAGTTTGTGTGAAGCAGGCTTTATAGATATAAGCCTTCAGATTCTGCATCAACATCTAATAGTATTTTCGTTTTTCTTTTGTTTGCGGACGTTGATCGGCGAAATCACATTTGGAATGTTCTAGTACAGGAAAAATGTAAAAATGCTTACTACGATAACCAATGTGCCCTTTATGATATCGAAACAATTCAAAACTAATAGATTCTTCCAGGTTCTGGAACAAAGCAAGGAACAACTATAGTTTTGTAAAAACACTTCGATTTTTTCGAAATGTTTCCACAGGTAGGTATTTTTACCGATAAACTATATTTTTGGGGGGGACGGACCCAGTTGAACGTACCCAGAAGAGAATATCTCTAGACCCAGAAAAGTTATTAGCACAAATTGTAGCATTTTGGAAAGGTAAGAGTGTCAGCAATAATTTGGGATCAATATTGTTGGGCCCTTTTCTGACTTTTTGGGGGGGGGGCTTATAAAAAATCCGGGTACAAAAAATCGATAATTTGACTATAATTTCCGAACCGTTAAGTTAAGCCCAAAGCAATTGCTTCATGAGTGTTTTTTAACTTGCTGGTGCAGAAATGATGGATCACGCAATTTTATGTACCTCCCACTTTTTTTATCTTACTAATAATATATAGCATGGTAAAATTAAGAAGGTGAAGTCATTTCAAATAAGCATTTCCATCTTTGCATTTTCTGTAATTTACCTTGTCAATTTCACTGCGTAGAAAACAGTTTTCCATCTCTGATTTGTGTATGTACAATGGATTTATAAATAAGTATTTTGCTAAGAGAAGTTGTCAATGAATAATTTTGAAAAAAAATTGTAAACATATGATCGCATGACTTTACCTTCTTAATTCTACCACGTATAGCAGTAATATATCACCTTTAAATTTTAAAACTCAGCATTTGCAAAATAAATTGCATATACAAATTTTATGAAATAAACGCCTGTATATTGTTTTTAAAGTTGAATGAATTTTGTAGTTCCCCTCTTTTTAAACAAATAGAGCACAACTAAAGATTGCATATTCTACAAAGGTCAATTATATTCTTCTAAAGCTTTTGAATCATTTACATTAGCTTAAAACGTATTTTTTTGCGTTTGCTATTTTGGTAGTAGCTTTAGGTATTTATTCTACATCTTTTAAGATTATGCGGCTATCCCTACAATTTGGAAAATTGTTTAGCTTGTTACTCTAAATAAATTATTTTGCGAAAGTCTACCTAATAAACCCTACTTTCTATTGGCCACATTCGTAAACAAACTGTCGGCCAAGGTAGATCTAACAGGTAACCGCATCGGCGAATTGCTACAACAAAGTAACCAAGGTAGATCTAACAGGTAACCGCATCGGCGAATTGCTACAACAAAGCAACTTTTGTGGTCCCCTCAAATGTCAAAATTGGCATCTAAGGCGAAAAACATAGATTCGCCATGACATTTAAAAGTTGCGGCAAATTTGTTTCAACCAATCAGAAACGAGGTGTTTGTTTACATTTTATTTTGTGTCCCTCTCGTCGTAAACGAACGTCGCAATAAAAGTTTTTATTGTAAAACAAATAAGACTAACAGCCTGTTCCACGATCTCGAAAGAAAATTTGTGCGAACGAAGGCAACTCACTCACTTTCGCATAAGAATGCGTTCCACTAACTTTCGTTCTTTCTTTCGCATAGCCTTACGTGATTCAGTGTTGCAAAATATTTTTTGGCAAAATTAATCGCGAAATAAGGCAAAAAAAGCGCCAAATGTCTAATTTAAACGCGAAAAAGCAGCAGTGGCTCTGTCTCAACTGACAGTTCAGTTGTAAACAAACAAATTGTAAATAAACAAACAAAATAAAATTTCTAGTGATTGTGTTTAGATTATTTGTGTTCTTAAAAAAGAAAAAAAAATGAATATTTCTGTAGCCCTATTTTTTATGGATGATGAGGAGGAGGTTCAAATTGTGCCACGGAGGCATTTAAGAGATGCTTCGAATTTATTTGAAGTACCTAACAACCAGTAAGTATGATTGTATTTTTACATTTTTGAAATAATAAAAAAATGATTTTTTCTAGGTTTGTGTCTTCCAGTGGTCTTCATGGGATTGCCTGCTGCTTCCAAAAATTGGCACTCCTCTGGCGAACTTAGGATTCTCCCCCATATACTCAACTAGTGCCCGCAGCTGTGTAGTTTTTTCGTGCTGGAATTGAGAAAATAAAAAAATATATATTTGTTGTTCACAGATTAAATTGCATTTATTATTTTTACTTACATTTTTCTTTCCATTTTCAATCAAGGAATGTTTATGTTAAAACAATTTTCCTTAATTTTTATCATTCGACAGCAAACACACAAGTGACTGATTTTGACATTTGTGTTCGCATGCGTACGAAAGAAAAAAGATAGTGGAACGCAAAATTACACTGAAACGCTTACGTTTTCGTTCGCTTTGATTTTCGTGCAAATTTTCGTTCTGATGGATTTTAGTGGAACGGAAATCAGCTGTTTGTCGTGTAAAAGTTGTGCGAACGTGTTCTTTCGACATCGTGGAACAGGCTGTAAAATAAGTATTAATTGTAGTATTGCGATATTTTTTAAACAAAGAAACTTATAATGACTATATTTTACTGGTTTAAACCGAAAGTTTTCCGGAACTGCAAATGACAAGAGTCTAATTCTTGCACTACTTCCCGTGATGTGCTTTGGGAATCTTAGATGTTGAGGCTAACTTAATTCTTAAAGCTGCACTCCATTCTAACCTCCTTCCTTCATGTTCTTTTAATTTTTTACTGGTTTCACTCTTAACTTACTCTTAAATTATTTGAAATATTATAAAAAGGTACTTTTAGGGAAGACAACATAAACAAATTTGTTGTTGCATTCATTTAGGGCGAATTCTTCATTACAACAATTCGTTTTGACATTTAATGGTGCCGTCAGCTGGGCTGATGCGATTACCTAGTACATCTACCTTGCTGTCGGCCTTCACATATTCAAGTCATTCGTAAATAAATGTTTTTGTTCATTTTGTTTTGAGTTTATTCTTCGCTTGTTTTCCAAGGTTGTATTGTTTGGAACGTTTTTAAATTAGCTTGGTTTAAAAATAAGAAAAGTTCCGCGCCGTCGGCCCATATCATAGAAGAGCCGGCCAGAGAAAATCAATCGGCGTCGTTATCTTCTCCAACACGTGCAACATAAATTTCTTGCTCTACGGATAACATTGTAAATAAAAACTTAAGTTCTTGTGGAAAAATACTTAAAGCAACTGGTATAATCTTGGCAAAAATGAAAAACAAGCAGAAAAAAGTTGTTCAGCCGGATAGTGACAGCGATTCAAGTATGGACGAGGAAGTCGACAGCAAGCATAATGAATTGGAAACAGATTCAGATGATGATCAGGAGGAGGTTGACCAAAGCCAAAATCAAGCAATGACTGATAGTTCTGGTGACAGCGATGATGGTGAAATGGATGAAGATAAACCCACAACAAGTAAAAACTTGAAGAACCAAAAATCCGCTGACGTAGATGGCGCAGAGAATTCCGACGATGAAGGAGACAACGACGACGAGGAGGATGGCGATGATGATGATGACGATGACAACGAACCTGAAGTAAGAATGCCAGTTTTAAATCCTCTTAGCTTGATGCGCAACAAGGAGCAACGAATGGCATTGTTTCGCAAAATGAAGAAGGAAAAACACAAAAAGAAAATGCAAGAGCGCAGAGCAAGACGTAAAGCAGGCGTACCGGCCAATCCCGGTCATACCATAGAAAGTTTGAGGGAAAAGGATCAAACGACTGTAACGAACCTTGATGACTCGGACAATGAAGAATTGCGCAAAGAATTACAATTGGATGACTTCAGTTCATATTTCGAGCGTTCTTACGAACCCAAAGTTCTCATAACATTTGCCGACAATCCCGTTACGAAAACACGTAAATTTGGCTTGGAATTGGGACGAATCTTTCCCAATGCTTTGGTAAAGATACGTAACAAATCCTCAGTAAAGAACATTTGTAAATCGGCCGTAAGAGAAGAATACACCGATGTTGTTATAATAAACGAAGATCGTCGCCAACCTAATGGTTTATTGGTAATACATTTACCCAATGGACCAACAGCACATTTTAAAGTATCCAATGTTAAACTTACCTCAGATATGAAACGTGATCACAAAGAAATTACAAAACATCGCCCAGAAGTAATTCTAAATAATTTCACGACGCGCCTGGGTTTGACTGTGGGTCGGATGTTGGGTGCTCTTTTCCATCATGACCCTGAATTCAGAGGACGTCGTTCTGTTACCTTCCACAATCAACGTGATTACATATTTTTCCGTCACCACCGTTACGAGTTCACCAAGGATGGCAAACGCGTTAAGCTTCGTGAATTGGGCCCACGTTTCACCTTGAAATTGCGTTCTCTGCAAGAGGGGACATTTGACAGTAAAACAGGTGATTATGCTTGGATTATTACCAATAAGAGACACGCTCTGGAAGCGTCCAGACGCCGTTTCCACTTATAGATACACATATTCTTATACCAGCAACGGTCTAGTTTTTAAGCTATTAATTCTATTAAAAAAATGTAGTGCGTGTGTATACATCGTTTTTTAATTAATAATATATAGAAGAAACTGAAAATGTTGTTTTATTTTAAAGTTGTAAAACAATTTATTGTTGTGATCCATAAATATGCGCATATTATTGTCTTTTTTGCAGAAAGTTTTAAATTGGTTATTTGAGCAATTTTGCGGGGTCAGTAATATATAACACATTTAAACTATCAGGACTTCATTTGCATTTTGGACAATTGTTGGGCAGAAAGGTTAGACTGCAAAAAAGTCAAACGCAATAATTTTTACATTTTTTTTAACTTATTGAATGAAATCAAAAAATTTCGGAAATAGCATCAAATTTTAGAATAAGTTTAGATTTGTTCCAATTGGTCACCTCTGGCACGAATTATGACCTTCAAACGGCCAATGAAACCGTCACACGCTGCCCGAAAGTTGCTCTGCGTTATGTTGGCCCATTCTCGGCGAAGAGCTTGCTTGAAGTGATCGACACTTTGGTATTTTTTAGTGCAAACCATGCTTTTCAAAATACACCAGGCCCAGTAGTCCAACGGATTGGTATCCGGAGATTTTGGTGGTCATTGTGCGCTGGAAAGCAGCGAGGAACCTCATTTTATAACCATTCTTGGGTAGCGCGTGTAAGTTCTTGCACTTTTTGGAATTTCAATGGCTTTACCCCGAGCTATTTTTTAAAATTTGCATTCGGCCTTTGCGACGCGGGTTGCGCTCAATTCGCTTCTTTACTTTTCGAACCATTTCTGCTGATGTTGCTGTTTTCTTCCGTCCATTTCCTTGACGTCGAGCTACGCTATCAGTATCGCGATAAGGAGCGATTGTACGAGAGACAAAAGATTTATTCACATTTAAATGCTGGAGTGCTCTAACGATAGCCACTTGTGGTTTTCCAGCCAAAATGTACAGAAATCACACTATCACGCTTAAATTCCATCACGAATAACTTTTTTCTGGAAAATTCTCACCAAAATGTTGTTGTACGCTTGTAAACAATATCATGAACTGTCACTGGAATAATTTTAACAGCTGTCGGACGAGTGGCTTAGAAATGACAGAAGTCTGAAGTTGGTTGCAGTTTCTTCATCTCACCATGTATATAACACATTTGAACTATCGGAATTCCATTTGGGATTTTGGACAATTGAAAAATCAAATTAGTTTGTCAGAGAAGTTATCTCGTGAATCCAAGCAATTCCGGAGCACTTTATGTTGGGTAAAACAAGTCGTGTTCTTTGCAAGAGCTTGGTGCAAGGCTCCTTGGAAGTGGTAAAAGATCAATACATTTAATTGTCGAATTTGAATTACGTTTTTTTTTAAATAAATCTCAAATTTCCATTTAGGTACTTGCATTATTTTTTTTTAAGAAGATGTCAGAGTTAGTAACACCATTGTAACCGATGCTGGTGTCGCTTTAGATGCTGTTGTTTTTGCTGCTGGTGGCACTGCAAATTCTCCTACATCACTATTACCTTATTAGCACATAGACCAATCCATGGTAGAAGAATACAAGTAGATGCATCAACGCTTGGTATGTCAAAAAATTGTTTTTTTAAATATAAGTAGATTTTTATATGTTTTCTTATACGACGTCATCCGGAGGTTATTATAATTCGCATTTTTCAAAACAAAAGCATTACACAAAGGTAGGTACATTCGGAAAACCAGACATTTTTTTATAACTTTCAAATTTCAATAAATCAAATATCTGTACAATAAATATTAATTTTAAATTGCAACAAGTAAAATGCTATATATACCAAGAAATAATATACTTAAACTATGTCTAATTGATAGAATATTTCAATTCAGTAAAATATACAAATGTCTGAGTATTGGAAATACCTATTTTCTTTCTACAGGTTCGAAGTGCGCTCACAAGCGGATTTGATAAGTCTTGCAACAATAAATTTCAAATCATTTAGTATGTTGAATTTTTTAATTAATTCCTCAATGTTGGCATTGGTGTTTTCGTATTTGTAGCGTCCCGTTAACTGAAATAATCGCTGATTTTCCCGCAATCTTTCTAGTATTTCGCTTTCCTGTAATCGCTTCTTTGAAGGCAATTCTCCACTATCGCTAAGTATTACCGAAAGTAAGGCTGCATTTTCTTTCGACAAGTGAAATTCTGATTGGGGTATTGGTGCTGCCTGCGGCATAAGTATGTGATTGTTCAAGTTATCTTTGGCTTCCTCCATTAGGGTGCCTTCTAGCGGAGGGTACTGTTCGAAGTCAATTTCTTCCACATTAAATTTCTTCTGGAAACCAATCTCAGTTCTTTGGAAACTGGGATGTAGATTTAGCAGTTCAAGTAACATATATTCTTCCTCATTAAGATCAAATTGGAATATGTGTTTTAACACTCGGCTTACGAAGCGTTTACACAAACGTTCCGGAGTGTAATTGCCATATTTATCCATGTTTTCTTGTCGACACCTGTGGAAATCTTGCCAACATTCAGATTCATCGATAAACAATACTCTATGCGGTTGTAGAGCGTATCTTATTTGAGCCCAATCCAATTCGTACCGACTTTCGTCGGAACTTGCACTGGGGGGATCGTTTTCACCAAGGTTTTCCATTAGGTAATTATAAGAGTTATGTCGGTCCGATGTACGATAGATCTGCTCGATGTTTCTTTAATCACAATCCACGAAAAAGGACTTAAATTTTAAAGGAAAGCTTTTTTCTACGAGAAATTTCTTCAAAGTGTTTCACAGTTTTATAGAAACTGCTTTCATAAGTCAAAGGAGAATGTCAAATTCTTAAACATTTCTTTATAGTTTTTGATTAAATGTGAGAAATATACACAAAATAAATATTTAAAATATCAAACGTTAAGCCGGCACCATTCACTAGGATTGTTGACATTTAGATGTTTGATTGTGTTAGTATGTTGTGTTATTTTTTACATTGTTGTAAAAACGCGTATTCAATTTAGTAGTATTACGCATGACATACGTAACAATGCAAAGGTTATCGTAACGATTGAGTTCCCCAGTGGCAGACTAACTAATTTTGGAAAAGTGACGAAAGGACAAGATTTGAAAATAAATAAAGTTTTTTCATAGTAGAACAATGAAGGTAACTTCGTGCAATCCTATGATTACAAAAATTATATCTTTGACAACATCTCATTGAGAAATTGTTTTTTTTTAATTATATGATTTTAACTAATGTTATGAGGAACTATTAAAAAAATTATAATAAAGCCATGGTACAATAAAAAGGTAAGGTAGAGTTCCCAGCTGATTACAATTTTTTCTAAGTGTACCCGAATTCTGCAAATTTTGTGTAGGGTAAGTGTACCAGAAGTCGGCACTTTTAGGATTTTCGTGTTTTTAATCGCTCACCATTCTGAGTGGAACATTTTAATTATTACAAAGTTAATTTATTCAGATTCGAAATTTTGTATAGTTTTTGCAATAATAAATAAATTTTTAATTACTTTTTATTAAATTTCATATATTTGTAGTTTTATTAAAACAATGCTTTTTTGCCAATAGTCGGCACCACTTGCCAATTGTCGGTATGGCATGTTCCAACAGTCGGCATACCAATTTTTTGTAAGAATAATTAATAATAATAATAATAGATTAATTCATTAAAATATATTTTTGCTTAGGTAAACTGATTCGACGTCTTTATTGTACTTTTCTTAAGAATATGAATTGTTGAGGACCTTCACAGACAAAAATTTAATTTTTATTAGAATAAATCATCTTTTCTTAGCGAAATTGTGCACAAAGATAGCTGGCAATATATTTGAAGTAAACAAAATACATTTAGTTATAATAGTTTCATTTATTTGAGCTTAAAAATAAAAAGTACCGACTACTGGGACATGCCGAACTTAGGCACACTTACCCTATGTATTCGTATTTTTTTTGTGAAAAATAAAAACAAAATATTTTCAAAATAAATGACTGGAAAAACATTTAGGATCATATTTTTATGAGAGCATCAAGGCATTGCATTCATCTTTAGCGCTGTTTGACTTTTTTTAGAAAGGAACAAAAATATCAAATAAATGAAAAGAACTTGTTGCCTATAATTTTAATAATTCTGACAGGAAGCGGGCATATCCTCGGCATATTGAAGCAATCCGAAACATTTTTATACCCTTATCCATATAGCTAGATTTGCCACGGCCAAAACGTGCCTCATTGAAATAACGATTTTAGGCCTTAGGTCACTTTGGACCAAATCCGTTTCAGGACATTCGGTGTCGATCTAGCGATGTCCGTCCGTCCGTCTGTCTGTCTGGCTGGTGCGCACGATAACTCTCGAAGGGAGTATCCGATTTGATACAAACTTGCTACATCATAATATTATTGTCAAACTTAGATAAGGTTCGGAGATGGGCAATATCGGTCCACTCCTGCTGGTACCTCCCCCACAAAATGTCAATATTCTCAAAGAAAATAATTTACTGCAGAGAAAGAGAAAGGATAATCCGATTTTTCTCTAACTTTGCCAATCCTAATATTTGCATCAGTGCTAGGTCACGTGTAAAATAACGGACAATATCGGTCCACTCCATTAAGAACCTCCCATCAACATTTAAAATATTTATAACCCTTTAAAGTGTGATGTAAGAATCCGATTGTCTTCAAATTTTTATTAACCCAAGGTCTGGTGTGAAGATGGAATATATCGGTCCACTCTTTCCGGTACCACCCCCCACCAAGGGTCAACATTTTGAATATTCATGAAGCTCATAGAACACAAAATTAACATCCGATTCCATTCAGACTTGGCAAATCTCAATATTTCAATCAAGACATGATATGTTGTATATATGGTAGAGATCGGACCATTCCTTCTGGTACCTTCCCCACAAAGTGTCAACGTTTTGAACAACAAAAACGATCATAAAATCCAACATAATCAAAATAATCAAATTATACACATCACAATATTTTTATTAACCCAAGGTCTGGTGTGAAGATGGTATATATCGGACCATCCCTTCTGGCACCTCCCCCGCAAAATTTTGAGTACCCGTGATGTTCATAAAACGGGACATTAACATCCGATTCCATTCAGACATGGTACATTTCAATATTTTATAAAGATGGTAGAGATCAGATCATTTCTTCTGGTACCTCCCCCACATAGGGTTCAAGATTTTGAGAAACAAAACGCTCAAAGAAAGTGAAATAAGCATCCAACTCTCTTCAAAATTCACACATACAAAGATTTTTGCTAACACAAGATCTGTTGTGAAAATGATATATATCTGCAAACCCCTTCTGGTACCTCACCACAGGGTCACAATTTTCAATACTTTTATCTGTCATAACTTGCGAAACTGGTCAGCGATTCTTTACAACTTGCTATATCCAAACATTTCTCTCAACCAGAAATCTGATTTGAATATGAAATTGATCGAAATTTATTTCGCATAATATTGGATAGAAATGTTCGATTTCCCCCAAATATTGCACATACCAATATATTTTCTGATCAAGTATGAAAATGGAATATTTCGATCCGCTATATGTGTTATCTGACGCATATTTCCAAATTTTTATATGTCTTAGGTCATATAAGAATTGGTCAACTTCGGAACCTCCCCATAAAGGGTCAACAGTTTGAATAATCATAACTCAGGGTTGGGGGTATACATCTGTCGGCAAAACCGACTGATACTATTTTACTTGTTAATTTAATGTTTTGGATCAAAAATTTTTTGAGACAATGGCTTGGTACACTGGTTCCCCTCTTTGCAGCCCTGGTTGTCATGATATCATAGAATAGAGTCACCAAACGAAAATATGTATTTAAGTCGTAGCTTAATCTACATATTGTTTGTACCATGGTTCCAAGCTTGGTAGAAGAATACAGATAGATGTATCATGCTTGGGAACATTGATATGTCAATAATTTTTAATATTTAATCAGAAGATTTTTATAAGTTTTCTCATACGACACAATCGTAGGTTGTTATGATATGCATGTTTCAACAATTTTTAAAAATATGAATATTTTCAATTTCAAAATTGTTTTCACAGTTCATTGTCCCAGCAGGTGTTGTTGTTTGTAGCGTAGTATGTGTGTGTTGTGTTCTGCTAATCTGTTCAGCTCCGTTTAAATTGCTACTTTAACGGCTGTACAAGATCCTTGAGGGTGGGTAGTTTGCTGAGCAATTAAAAGGTGAGCGTAGTGCGGGCCTGTACACAGCCGGCAGGCTCAGCACACTTATCAATTCGTGCCCAATACGAATTGAGGCGACTACACCATCCTGAACGTAATTGCGCCAAAACTACCCTGGTTTGTCTAGGCAGCTGACGTTTCTTCGGCTGCAATGGATGGGGGGTGGACTCCGAGGACGGCATTCACTTTGTAACTGCTAATAGCATCCGCGACTGCATCGGTGTGAATGCCACTCAGACCTGCCTGATAGGCTTCTTGATCTAGAGGCTCTCTCTTGTAGCGCTGGACCTCCCTCTCTAGATCATGTAATGTCCTTCCTGACACGCCTGGGTGGGGGAGAGTTATCCACCATGTGATGGTTGGGATGGCTCTCACGGTAACACCCAAGCAGGTACTGCAACGAAAGCATATGATTATGCTGACGTAAGGGAAGGACTTTCGCCTCCTCATGTAGATGGTCCACTGGTGTCATGAGAGGCACCCTGTCGCAGTTCTCAGGGCAGCGTTCTGGCAGGTCTGGATATTCTTCCACTGCGTAGCACTAGTATTCGCAGACCACACTGGAGCCGCATAGTTTGACCACAGACCGACCTATCGCGTTATAAGAGGTCAACAAGGTTTCTTTGTCCGCACCCCAAGAGCTGCCGGCTAGCGCCTTGAGGACCTTGTTCCTACTTTTCATCTTGTCGCAGATAGCTGTGGCTTGCGCGGACGACTTGAACATGCTGTCGAACGTTACCCCAAGAATCTTGGGGTAGTTCGTGGTCGGTATTAAATTCCCCTCGACCTGAACATTCAGCTGTGTTCTCATCTCCGCAGACCATGTGGTAAGAGTGTGGCCGTTGATTTCGTGGCGGATATTTTCATATTCCTCGCGTGGAAGTATGCGGCAAGCTCCGCGAGATAGGGGTTCAACCTTTCGCATATGTCATCGACCACTGGACCCGACGCCATGATCGTACAATCATCCGCATACGTTACGATCTCAATGCCGTCTGGAGGGCGAGGAATTCCGGAAAGGTAGAGGTTAAACAGTTCCGGAGATATCACCCCACCTTGGGGAACTCCCTGTTTCACTCTACGGGCTTTGGACTTCTTGTTCCGGAATTCCACGTACGACTGGCGTCCACACATATAGTTGATTATCCAACGTTTCAAACTTGGCCGGAGGGGTAGTTCTCTGTACGTCCTCAAACAGTGTGGCATGATTGACCGTATCAAATGCCCTTTGATAGGTCAAGGGCTACCAACACTGTTCTGTCACACGGCCTGTTCTGGTTTAGTCCCTACTAATATGTGTGGAAATGGCGTGTAATGCTGTTGTGGTACTATGTTGTGGACGGAATCCATGCTGGTGGTTGGCAACTGCATAGCTTCCTCTAATGCTGGGGAGGAGTAAAGCCTCAAGAGTCTTTGCTACTGGCGACAAAAGCGAAATCGGCCTGTACGATTCGCCTTTACTGGCATCCTTGCCTGGCTTCAGTAGCGGGACCACCCGGCCCATTTTCCAGGTTTCGGGCACTATGTAGGTGGCTAGCGACAAATTGAGAACTTTTGTTAAGTACTCGACTCCCGGCGTATCCAGCTGCTTCAACATTACCATTGAGATTCCGTCCGGGGCCCAACGCTTTGGATGACTTAGCGTTACGGATGACATTTGCAACATCACCCATCGTAAACTGTGGTGGTTCCTCCTCGGCGGGAAGAAGATCTGATACGACGTAGTACTCTTTCGCTTCGCCCTATCACTCTCGGGGGTGCTCGACAAATTGTCGGTTAAAATATTCCGCGCACCTCTTCGGATCAGTCACCGTTACGATCGTTAAAAGTGACTGAGGTCCTATCATCCTTTTTTCCAGGTTCGAGAGCGACTTAACCGTTACCCACAGCTTACTCATATCGGTTCCAATGTGCAGCACTTCAGATGGTCTAGCCCACTTTTTCCTCTTATGCTCCTGCACCACCGGTTGACTTCCACTGTCAAAATCACTGATTCTAGGATCAGTAGGGTTGGTACGACGGAGATCATCACGCTCGTTTGCTAATCCCGCTGCCTCTGCTGGGAAGTTTGGTCTTATCTCGGGTAGTCGGACCAGCAGGTATATAGCGAGCGGCTGCAGCTCTGATGATGTTTCGGAAAATCCTTTCTCGCTAACCCGAACATCAGAAGGGTTGGGCAGTTCTCTGAGCGGCGGTTGGTGAATTCTCTGAAACTCTGGCCAGTGAGCTTTCCCATGGTTAAGGAAAGTGCGGGCGTTCAGAGGTTATGAAATCGGGCGACCTGCTTATGGAGACGATTATCGGGAGATGGTCTGAGCCAAGAGAAATGACGGGTTGCCAAGTCACGTCATTTATCAGACCGGGTGACCACTATGGTTAAAATCTTGCGAACTGTGACACTCTCCTCTTATTCGGTGGGGGGGCATCCTCGTTAACCGTGCAGAATGTGGAGCAGTCAATCTGCTCTGCCAGCGCTGATCCCCTCTGGTCATTACCTAGGACGGAATGCCACAACTCATGGTGGGCATTAAAAATCCCCTAGTACCAGGCGGTTATTGCCTACCAATAATGGGCTAATATCAGGGCAAATAACGTGGTTCACAGCTATTAATCGGCGGATATTACACATTAAGCACCTCTACCTCGGCAGTTCCACACTTGACTGCTACCCCCCATACATTCCATGTATGGGCACTAGAGACTAGCTCAAGCGAGATAGGTCTGTACTGAACAGAATGGTGTAACAGGAACGCTATCCCCACCTCCCTTCTGGTGCGATCCTTCCTTAGTACGTTGTAACCATAACAACGTTGTAGGCTGCAATTTTCATTCAGCTTGGTTTCCCTGCACCGCTGCGATCTTATAATTCCTTCCGACTCAAAATTCCACTATCTCTCTATTTTGCCTCGAAGTCCGTTGCATTGAATGCAAGAATGATGCACAATCCGGAGTTGGAAACAGCAACATGTGCGTTAAGGTGCTGCGGTGTTGGTTGCTGTTCTGGAGACTGCGGTGAGTGCCATACTCCGACGACGTCTCTGACGAGGGACGACGAAGAAGAGGACTCGCTGGGGACTACGTACTGCAGCAAGTCGCACATAAATATCCCTTTCGCGGTAGTCATCGCAAACGCCTTAATCCGGAACAGTTCGTGAAGTGCACCCACGCTCTGCATCCATTACATCGCACCGAGACAGATCTGTGGTGGATGACGTTCTGACAAACCGAGCAGAACCAAGGTCCGGGGTTTTCCTCAATCCCGCACGACCAATAAGTATTCTTATACCATGGTTCCACGATAGTATATTTGGTTCCATATTGACAAGAATGTGAAAAGCCACGATAAAAAAGATTATTGAAAGGATCCGAAATTTAGGAGAATTTATTTAAAGAATTTGGTAAATTCAAAAGTTTTTTCCCCAAGTTAAAATCTCCCAGCCGGTCGCAGTCATCACAAGTAGTAATGAAATGATACCCAGAAACTGATGGTGAAGAAAAGCATGGAAGACTCTAGGATTAAGTCCAATTTTAAAGAATATTATTGAAAATTTGTAAAATGACTACTGTTTATTATAATTCATTTTCTTCATGTGTAACATTGTTTTCTTTTCCAACAACGGTTATAAATTTTATGCGCCATTTTTTGGTAATGCACAAATACATAAATGCATAACAATGCATTCTTTATGCCACGTATAAATAATTTATATAATTGATTATCATTAATAAACAGACAGTATAATCCGTGGCCAAACTTAAGTGAAAAACAAAATAATAGAATAATAAAACAGACAACCAAGGACCCTGTTAAATTTATCAAAAGTGTTAACTAATACTACGAATATATATATTTTAAATAAAGCACATTTCAAATAATATAAGGATTTGATTTTCAAATAAATAGAGTCAAATTTAGAAAATTAGCTACATCATGGGACATTGAGGATTGCCAGCAGCAGCACCAGCAGCTGCGGGGTCAAGTACTGGCAAATCACCAGCGGTTTCTGCCAAAATTTCTTCTGGTGGTTGACCATATTCCTGCAATTTACGCATATCATCTAAAACCACACGGAATTTGTCGCGCTTTTCTTTGGCCGAGTCATTGGGATTTTCAAGTTCTAAATGTCCTTCAATAATTTTGTACAATTCCAATTGTTTCTCGTAACGTTCCTTATCTTCGGCAGATAATTTGCTTGCATTTTCTTCCAAATATTTGGGATATTTTTCCAAGAGTTCCTTAATGCTGGGCAATAGAATTTCAGCTGAGAGCAGAGATTGCATCATGCCCTCCATGAATGGCAGGAACATGTTACCGTCATCAGAGGCAGCCTAAAAGAAATTAAAAAAAATTATTAGCTTTTATTATAATGTTATAAATACAAAGTACAAGTACAGTCATAAGCTAACTCAGGAAGTCACAAGACAACTAGATTTTCTGATTAGTTATTATTGATTTTTGCAAATCTAATAAATAAGAAAATAATAGAATAGAAATTCAATGATAAGTAGCGATTGGGTCAAACCAAGACCTAAGGATTTTAACTCAAAATATGTATTTTGATAGCAAACAGTTGTCAGATGGGCTCACTGGCCGAATATATATAGGTCATGGGTCAAACCTTGCATTTTTGCCATATTTAGTCATTTCAATTAAATTTAGATAAAATTGAAATATTAAAATCAATTTCGACCGAATTTTAATGAGAGACTTTTTTCATCTCTCTGAATTCTTGGAAAAAGCTATTTTTTCAAAACAAATATTTTGCGGAATAGAAATGGGCTTTGGAATGTGCGTAATGTGGACCAGTTCATTACTTTGCCCTTTACATTTTCTTTGCATACCATTCGCTTATCGTTGCACAATGTTGAATCTTATCTTTAATAAAACGTTTTGGATTAAAGATAATCTATACTAAATTTCTGTATACTATAGAGTTACATACATAGTTATTTTGCTTATATGTATAAATATTGAAAAATCAAATAATAATAATTAAAAAAAAAACTAGCCAAAATGAAAATTAGATATTAGATATTTCATGACATCGTTCAATATAAATGAGTTATGTTTAGATTGACAGCTTTTTGTTAATAGATATTATTTCTAAATAAGAATTTATGGCCCCAAATTACTGGTGAATTGGCCTTTGCTATTAAGGATTACCAAAGTAGTGATCAACCCGAATCGGAGTAATTTGTACTGAATGCTATCTGAATACTATACTATCAAACATTGGCCAATTTGGTTCCTTAAGCCGGAAATGGATTCGGCCCAATTTAGTTTCTATATGGAGACCATTTATTTGTGCAATTCTATTGTTTAATTTAAATTGCATCTATATATACTTACATTTTCAAGACTCAAACCGCCGAACATATTGGCTACATCATTTTCTGATACGGGAGCAGCGAGATTGTCTGTGCCTTCTTGCAGTCCCTTCAAAGCTTGTGCTATGCTGTCGGAATATTTGGCAACTTCTTCATCGCTGGCAGTATTTTCACCCTGTAACGTTTTGGCGGCGGCTTCAGCCATTTTCTTAAAACCAGCCATAATTTGCTCGGGATCTTGTGGCAATGGTGCAACATCACCTGTGGGTGTGTCGGGACCACCGAACAATGTGTTCATACGTTCTGCCAACAGCTTGGCCTGTTCTCTATTGCGGCAAAATGCAAACGATGAAAATAAATATCAATTAATGAATTGCCATAGACTTACAAAAAGAATTCCTCCGAATCAGGATTGCCTTCGGCACCATCTTGGGCAGCATTGGATGCATCACCATTGGCCGCTTGTTTGTCGTCCTTTACGAAATCTTGCAGGGCATCTTGAATACGAAAGAAATTTGTATTTATTTAATATTGCTGATGATTACATAATTTTCATTCATAATTCAAATTCTGGTGTTTGTTAATGATTTTTTTTTTGTCGCAGTCGCATTCTATTCGTCTGCCCCATTTGCACAAAATCATCAGCAGCATTGTGAGCGATGTGATCATTGGACTGAGTGTCTTGTTATGTTATGACACACTGCCGACACATTCTTGTTGTTGTGATGTTCTTAACTTACTGTCCAGCAATTCGTTAAGCTCGTTGTCATTGGGCTTTTGTTGATCGGCCATTGCACGTGACTATTTGGGAAAGGTTTTAAACAATTATTTCGAAATACAAAAATAGAACTCTTCTTTCCCAGCTGCTCCAAGATTCTCCACAAATGAAGAAACTCAACGTGAACTAGAGGTGGCAAATAATCACTACCATCGATTGTACTTTATCGATACTTTATTTAAAAGGGCAGTATCGATTGATAGTTTTTACTATCGATATTACCGGACAAAATGCTATTACTACACAACAACAGAAATAAAATGCTAATTTAAAAAATATTAAATTAATGAATATAGTTTAATGAATATAGTTTAATGAATATAGTTTTTTTTAGTTAGAGCAACTACTTTCTACGACACTCTACAGCGAAACAATTAACGGTATAAATATCGATAGGTTGCCACCTCTGACGTGAACTACGATGTAATTGTCAAAGGTGTTTTTCTAGATTAGGGTTGCCAATACGCAAGATATTTTAATAAAAATTGATTTACGTAAATCTTAGTAAGATTTTTAAGACAGATGTAAAAAGCTTTAATTTGACTAGTAGGTGAATGTTTAATATTATCCGTTAAATTCCCATTAATCCTTAGCACAGCGGATGCTATTCTATAAAAGCATATGCCAAAAATAACAAGTAAAAGAGAAGCTAAGTTCGGCCGGGCCGAACTTTTAATACCCTCCACCATTTCGAAGGAGATTGAAAATTAAAAAAAAAAATCCGAAAACTACCATTTAAAAGACAACCGTTATATGGGAACTATACGAAGACGTGGACCTGTATACGATTTTTATACCCTCCACCATACTATGGAGGGTATATTAACTTTGTCATTCCGTTTGTAACTCCTTGAAATACTCATATCAGACCCAACAAAGTATATATATTCTTGATCAGCGTAAAATTCTAAGTCGATTTAGCGATGTCCGTCTGTCTGTCTGTCTGTCTGTCTGTCTGTCCGTCTGTCTGTATGTCTGTTGTAATCACGCTATCTTTCGAATGAATTGAGATAGGTGGCTAAAATTTTGCACACATGTTTATTTTTCCAGTAGGCAGGTTAAGTTCGTAAATGGGCCATGTAGGTCCACGTTTTCATATAGCCCCCATATAACGGTACCTCCCGATATTCGGTATTTTGATGAATTTAGCGACATTATTTGCCAGAATTGTTTCAAATTTGGTATTTGAAGTTCAAAATGGATACTACACCCTAAGACAGAAAATTGTCTGTGCAGGTCCACGTCTTCATACAGCCCCCATATAACGGTACCTCCCTATATTCGGTATTTTGATGATTTTAGCGACACTATTCACCGGAATTGTTTTAAAATTGGTATTTGAAGTTCGTTATGGGAACTACAGTCTGTGACAGAAAATTGTCTGTGCGGGTCCAGGTCTTCGTATAGCCCCCATATAACGGTACCTCCCTATATTCGGTATTTTGATGATTTTAGCTACATTATTCACCGTTTATTTCAAGTTTCGAATTTGAATATGGTAATGGCTTATGACAAACAATGCCTATGTATGTCCACGTCGTATAGACCCCAAAATAACGGCTATATTCGGTATTTTTAAAATTTTAACAGAATTTTTTAAGGATTTTATTTTTTGAAAATTTCCAAATTCGTTGCAAATGGTGGAGGGTATTAAAAGTTCGGCCCGGCCGAACTTACTGCTTTTTAACTTGTTTTTTTATCATACCATTACGAATATCAAATACGAAATTTATTACAATTACGGTGAATGATGTCTCAAAAACCATGACAATACGGAGTATCGGGAGGTACCGAAGACGATTTTCTGTCTTAGGTTGTAGTACCCATTATGAACTTCCAGTAGGAAATTTGAAACAATTTCGGTGAATAATATTGCAGAAACCATCAAAATACCGATTATCGGGAGGTATCGTTATATGGGGCTATACGAAGACTTGGACCTGCATACAAAAATTTCTGTCATAGGCTGTAGTACCCATTAGGATCTTCCAGTACGAAATTTGAAACAATTCCGCTGAATAATGTTGCTGAAATCGTCAAAATACCGAATGTCGGGAGGTACCGTTATATGGGGGCTATACGAAGACTTTGACCTGCATACAAAAATTTTTGGCATAGACTGTAGTACACATTACGAACCTTAAATACGAAATTTTAAATAATTCCGGCAAATAATGTCGCTAAAATCATGAAAATACACGAAAACGTGGACCGACATGGTCCATTTACGAACTTAACCTGCCTACTGGTAAACTATGTATGTATGAAACATTTTAACCTTCTTTCTCAATTCGTTCGAAAAATAGCGTGATTAAGACAGACAGACAGACAGACGTCTTAGAATTTTACGCTGATCCAGAATATATATACTTTGTAGGGTCTATTATGAATATTTCGAGGAGTTACAAACGGAATTACAAAGTTAATATACCCTCCATAGAATGTTTTCTCACCTTAAGTTCGGCATGTCCCAGTAGTCGGCATTTTTCATATTTAAAGTAAAATAAATATGAATATTTATAACTAAATGTAAAAAAAATATTTGTATTAGTTTTGAATATATTGTAACATTTCGCTAAGAAAAGATGATTTGTTCTATAAAAATTTACATTTTTGTCTCTGAAGTTCATTCAGCACAAAAAGACTCGTAAGTTAAAACATTTTCAACAAAGTCTTTTTGAAACATTAAAGAACTATCAGAAGAACTATTCAGACAAGAATATTTAAAAAGGAAAAAATAATATTATTGTAATTTTATTCAAGATAGAACTTTTATTATGCCGTATTTAAGGTACAGCCCACACACCCCACCCCTATAACGATCTTGCAGTTTAAAAGTATTTTGGACGTTTTCACAATCTCAGACAATATAAGTACACTATTTGATAGGGTCCCAATAAGCAGCACGTCTTGATATCTTTGTAAAAAGGAAATTTGCTATACAAATATGAAGGTCCACATATTACTATAAGCGCCATACAGCTATGTGCTCAGTTTATGATCGAAGTTACAACTACCATATTGTTGTGAACTAATATGATTTTCTTCTTTTTTTTAAACGAATTCAAAAACAAAACAAAAAATATTACAAAATTTACAATTCAAAATAGAAAGTCAAATTGAAACAAGTAACAAGATAAAAAGCAGTAAGTTCGGCCGGGCCAAACTTTGAATACCCTCCACCATTTGGAACGAATTTGGAAATTTTAAAACAATAAAATCCTTAAATAATTCTGTTAAATTTTGTATTGGGGTCTATACGACGTGGCATTGTTTGTCATAAGCCATTACCATATTCAAATTCTAAACTTGAAATAAACGGTGAATAATGTAGCAAAAATCATCAAAATGTCGTATATAGGGAGGTACCATTATATATGGGAGCTGTGCGAAGACCTGGACCAGCATAGACAATTTCTGTCATAAGCTGTAGTATCCATTACGAACTTCAAATACGACATTTCAAACAATTTCGGTGGGTATTGTACCTAAATTCGTCAAAATACCGAATACAGTGAGGTACTGATATATGGGAGCTATACGAAGACCTGGACCTGCATAGACATTTTTCTGTCACAGACTGTAGTTCCCATTACGAACTCTAAATACGAAATTTGAAACCATTCCGGTGTATAATGGCGCTAAAATCATCAAAATACCGAATATCGGGAGGTACCGTTATAAGGGGGCCATATGAAAACGTGGACCTACATGGCCCATTTACGAACTTTACCTGCCTACTGGAAAAATGAACACGTGTGCAAAATTTTTGCCTTCTATCTCAATTCGTTCGTGATTACAACAGACAGACGGACAGGCAGACGGACATGGCTACATTTTACGCTGATGAAGAATATATATACTTTGTTGCGTCTGACATGAGTATTTCGAGGAGTTACAAACGCAATGACAAAGTTAATATACCCTCCATAGTATGGTGGAGGGTATAAAAAGGCTGTACGTTCGGCCGGGCAATTTGGCAATTTTCAAAAAATAAAATAAAATCCGTTAAAAATTCTGTTAAAATCTTAAAAATACCGATTATAGCCATAATATTAGGGTCTATACGACGACGTGGACCTGCATAGGAAACTTTGTCATAAGCCATTACAATATTAACATACGGAATTTGAAAAAAAAATGTATATTTTTTGTAACACCTCACAAACGGAATGAGGCGGAGGGTATAAAAAGCCTATTTTATTAAATATATTATTGAAAAGTGGTGATGACTACTTGCAAAAAAGGGGAATCTTCATAGAATCACTATTTGAGTCGATTTATGCATGTCAGTCCGTCCGTCCATGTATTCTTGTGAACAAACCCTATTGAAATTGGTGATATTCGGATCAGATTTAGATATAGCTCCCAAATGAGCTGTATTTTGGTACATCCCACCGAAAAAATTTAATAAAATTGGGACATATAGCTCTCACATATACATTTATCCGATATCAGGTTTATTGTGCACCAAATGGCTAATATAAGCCCAAATGGACCGAATTTGGGCAATTATGACTTAATACATATGTTTCATTCGATTTGGGGTTTTAAGTCTCTCACATGTGGAATATGCACTCCAGAAGAATGATATTTGGTACCGAATATCAGATACAGCTCCGAAATAGGTTATCAAATTTTGTCAAGATTGGTTTAGAATTGGTACCAGATATCTTATGAGGCTCGGAAATACCTATTTATCGGAAACGGCAAAGATATATATCTCCCATATATATCCTTAATCCGATTTCAGGTTTATTGTGCAAATAATATCAAATAGTTTGCAGGTTTTGGAACAGAGCAATTTTACAAAGTGATTCAAACGATGTTTAATATTCCAAAAACTAAACAAAATTTCGAATCCGAATAAATTAACTTTGTTATAATAAAAAAATCCACATAAACTTGTGAAGGATTGAAGAAGCGAAAATCTTTACTTTCCGAGTAAAAATTTCGGAGTAACGTGTTTCTCACTTACAAATCTTGCTAAAAGATGTCGAATAACTTTCAGTAAAAAGAACATTTCGTAATAATTTTTACAAATTATATGTCTGTCTGGTTACTTTCCCTAGAGGAAGTGTCCAGCTACTTTCTTTCTGAGAGAATGATATATGTGAAAGTTTTTACTACGATAACGGATTTTCGC